TATATATATATATCCCTAGTTTGACTTTCTTATTAAAGTCTTTTATGTCTATCTGCAGCCAGTTTCTTTTTTCCCCTTTATAAAAATGCAAGAGAAATAAAAACGCAAGATGGTTAAGGTTGAACACAAACAGCTGAAACAGAAAAATGCACAAAAAATGTTTATTCTTTGAATGAAAYCATTACAGTCTCTCAGAGCTTGAGTCAAAATTCTATAAAATCTGTTTGAATGCATGTCTGCAAAACTCTATCATTAAAATATTGTATTTTATACACTGCATTTACATGTAAACTGTCTATGATTTCATTTAAAATACATTTAAACTGATTGAGGCGGTGGTCCAAAATAAACTATGGCAAAAAATGTTACACCTCATCTTAGAGCAGCTTTAAAATCTCTGTTACACTGCTGACAAAATCCAGGCTGTCCATTTTCAAACAAATCATGTTACATGTTAAAATAATAATCTCTCTGTAAATCAGAAATGTGTAGAAAGGCTTTTGTACTTTACTGGCTTTTATAAACAGGCAAAAAATAATAATTTGTTCACTTTTGCTTCATAACTTTTCACATAATAAAAACAAAAAAAAATAAACTCTTGATAATCTCAGAGGGGCACTGAGGTGTGACATAATCTCCTCCACAGCAGCAGTGAGACTGGGAGGATGCGACTCGTTTCATGATGACTTTTCTTTTTGCAGGGAGACCATCGTTTGTGTCAAAACGAAGAGTGTGGCAGAGCGCCGAGGCTGTCCTTGTTGGCCTCCAGGAACTGGCTGCAAGCAGAAAACGTGCTGTAGTAGCGGGAGGAGAGGCCGGCAACATCTGTGGAGATGTAGGCGAGGACAACAGGCGAGGCCTGGTTGTAGTAGGTGATCTGAAACAGAAACACAACACAAGCTATTGGATGTTTACCATCAGCTTTTGTGTGCAAGGTCCAGTTTAATAAAGCAGCCAGGTATGTTGCAACAGAGCAGGTAAACCAGACAATTACCTAGAGCCCCAAGATGAACCTGAGGCCCCCAGATCACCACTGGTTCTGTTTTAAATGTAACAACAAACACTGTGAGCTTCCCTTTACGTTCTATGGTGATYAAAGCAGGACAGTTCAACAACACTGTCATTATGCCTTGCCTCTACTCCTGAGTCTCACTGTGTCAGTGGCCTTCAACTAATTGCTCAGGAAGCCACAGTTACCAACAGCTCAGGGGCATTACCAGATAACTAGTAATGGGATACACTGCATTATGTAAAAGAACTTAAGTCTTATCACCTTTTATCATTTAAGTTTGGCAGTTTTGTTGCCCTAAATCATAAATGTACTATTTAAAATCAATTTAAAAAGTATTTTTATATTGATTTAAGTCAAAAAATATATACAGTGCAGCATGAAGGAGGACTCTCCTAACAGTGAACAAGGTCAAGTCTTAGAACTGAACTATTTTTATGATTTGATTTATAATTTATTTATTTAAAAGGGGACAGTGCAGTTGAATAAAATGTATATTACATATTCTTAGGTTAAAAAAGCCAGAATTAGCCAAAAAGCTATTTTTCAGCTGTATTCCACTGGGCATGATGTTTAAAAAGCAATAAACTACAAGAATATAAATACGATTATAACACACAATTGATTAGAACAAGAAACTGAATAAAACACATCCAGACACACTGCGAAAAAAATATTAATTTAAAAATAAAAAACAATACAATATAAATATACAATGTATACATTAAATACGGTTTCTGTAAAAAAAAAGAACATTTATACATTTTATTAAATTTTTTCTAAACTCACTAGCAAGCCACATGTGGCCCATGGGCCACCACTTGAATAGCCCTGTTGTAAAAAAGTGTGAGCTTTTGCTGCACAGGATGGTGGTGGAATTTCACATTATTCAAATGTTAGCAAAATGTGCCCTCTAAAAATATATTTGTGAGTAAACTTCAACAATCAGTGCGTCAGGAGCTGCATTTCCATTGAGAAGAATTTCGAAAAGAAATTTGCTCAATGGAAACAGATCAATTTCAAAAAAACTTCCTTTTTTAACAAAATGTTTGTCATTTTGGTGGTTTGGTGGTTTTCCGGCCGTATCGAAATTGGTGTGTTTTGCAAAACTGCATTTGAAAGACTTTTTTTGCATCACAGGAGTCCCGTGATCAACAACCGGCTGTTTCTACTGGTGAAAAAGACGACAACAGGAAGTAGAAGTAGTAGTAAAATCACCAAAGTTGTAAAAGGAAGTTAGTAAACTCACCGACTACAATTTCCCAAAAACGCTGCATTCATAGCTGCTCCCAAGTATAAGGGGCTTGTCACTCGAAAGCCTCGATAACACGTCGACATTTCCTCTGCTGATGAGCACTAGTGTCGTAGCAATATGCTGTGTTTACATCCATTGCTGTCATGTTTGTAATGACTTATCACCAGAACAAACATATGCACGCGTGACTTTAATTGCATTTCTTACTTAATGGAAACACAGCAATTGCGAAACTGTTTTTTCAACATTAACAGAATACTGACAAAGTTTTGTGCACATTTGCAATGGAAACACAGCTTATGTTGACTTTGAGCAGGGGGTCATTCAGGTTTTGGGCTGGGGGCCCGCCAGGTCCCAGCTGCCTAAGGCCCCCAAAGTGCTTCATAACGGCCCTGTCCACAACACTGGTTCAGTATAACACCATTTAGCTGACCTTGGTGACGGTGCTGGACTCCTCCAAGAGTGTGAAGCCCGCACAGAGCACCTCTCCCCTGGTGTAGTCCTCTGTGGGGGGGTGAGTGGGCAAAGTGACGGAGCGCAGAGCAATCAGGTACGGGTCTCTAAGAGGTGGGTGGAACAAGAACATTAAAAACTTCATGAACCACTGGCACCTTTTTACAAAAAAATAAAAGCTAAACATTAGAAAATGTCATGCATTTCACTGAAAACCACTCAAGATAAGAAATGCTGAAACAGTATTTTAACTTAGATGCAAACATCTGAAACTGAAGCAGCAAAACCTTGATTGGAAGCACATTTTTCTCACCAACACTGTCAGAATTTAGGAACAGTATTTGTAAAATGGTTTTCAGAAATAATTTTAAATACGATTTTATCTGATTAACATTTTCATGGAGTTATAATGTTTTGTTTGTCTTGTAGTGTGCAAATGACAGAAGTGGGGAGTARAAACAAATATGAAAAATGTGTGATAAGTGGAAAAGTGTGAAAAGTGTTCTAGATTATAAAATTTCTTCAGGTTTTCTGAACGTAGAAATGTGTTTCAAAGTTTTCTGTTTGTTTGTTTGTTTGTTTGTTTGTGGACTTTGGCTGCTTTTCCACTTATTCCATCTAATTCTTTCACAAGAAAGTATTTTAATTTGTTAATTCGTTAAACTGCTTTTTCAAGAATAAAATCCTTGTTAACTCAAAAGGAGGAATGTGTGTTGTGTTTAGACAACACACAACTGAGCAAAGAACCTGTTTATAAAATGAGTTTTTAGTGTTTTGTGTCACAAAGACAGTTTTTTTTCTATTTCTTCAACCAAATAATGAAAAATACTGACGATAACAGAGTTTAACACATAAAATAGTACCTTAGCATCAACGGAGTGATTCCCTAAAAGCAATTAGCTGAAAACGTGACATTACAGTTTTCTTTATTCAACAGACATCCAGTAGACGATCACCTATTGGTTCATGTTTGGGTTTTTGCTGGATCTTTTCTAGTCCAAGACGTTCAGAAACAAAATAAACTATTAGCTCTGACACCTCTCTTTCTGTCCTCTGTTTGTTCACAGTCTTCATTTTTAAAACTCAAACATCAAATTGTACCGGTTGTCCATAAAATATGTGGACCCCCGCCCCTCCCCCCGTTTTTTCATTTAAGATGATATACAGAGAAATTTTCACGGACTTTAAAAAAACATAGTGATGTTTTACTGCATTTGGAGCCTCCTTCACTCCACCACTAATTTAATTTTGTGTCAAAATGGTTGTGTAGATCCTCCTCTTTTGATCAGCTGGGTAGATCTATGGTCTTTCCACAACCAATTAAATCGAAAGTTCTTTTCCGTCATTTTATTTATTTATTTTTTTGACTAGACGATGGCGAAAAGTTTTGAAAAGGAAAAGAAAGTTATGAGATGGTTCATGAGAAAGAAATCCAATTTATTTTTGGTAAGTAAATGTTTAAAAAAGGTGCGTGGTGAATTGTCTGTGGAGTGTTTTGAATTATAAAATGGGTCATGATGGACATATTCTTCAAACTGAAACCTTCCATCAAATGGCCGTTGATGTTGTTTAGATGTAAAAAAAATAGAATTAAAAAGGGAAATAAATTACGTTTTCATTGTGTTTCAGRGGTGTGTGATGGGTTTTACATTACTGTGTATATTTCAGTTGTACATGTGTACAATGACCATAATACTTGTGTTGTAAATGAAGTCAGTGTCTTGCAAGAGGTACAAGGATTATTTGTTAAACTGATGGATTTCTGAAGGTCAGTATGCAGGTAAACATCAGAAGGGGTTGACATGTATGCACACACAGAACAACATGCTGCCATGATCAGGTAGAAGAACTGGGCACAACATGAGAGGAAAAACAGCCAAACTCCAAAAAAATAAATAAATAAATAAAAATAAATAATACTTTAAAGATCCTGAAAAATCTTGAAGAAACATTGATCAAGACCACTTTAAAAGATGACAGGAAAATCTGGCTCCTTGGGTTAAAATATTTGTCAAATTTTTCAAATTCTGTGATTTTATTCAAACTTAAAAAAGAAGAAAAGAAGAAAAACAACAACAACATGAAATATGGTAAAGTTGAATTTCGAAAGCAGAGGTGGTGTAAAATGTGTCATTCTGACGCACCTGGAGTCACATGGTTTCCTTCTAGATGCCAACAAGATAAAATCTTTCCCTTTGTCCCCTTTACTGACAGAGGGAGTAATGACATGATAAAGCATGTCGTCCTCATCTGCCTGCTTGATCACCTCACACTCCCTGCAGATCAAACACAACAATGAGCAGAGAAGAAAATACAAATATATTTTCACAGCATTTAGATGTTTGAGGTTCTGGTGCTGTTGTCACAAGAAAATAACCAAGCAATATTTCAGAGTTAGTTCTCTTTTTTTTTTCAGTTAGATAACCTACACTTCCGTCTCCTCATTTGGATGCTGTGATAAACTCATTCTCTGGAGCAAACTGCTCTGCTGTTACGCTCACTGAACAATGAACTGAGTCACATGAGGCCAGGCTCTAAAAATGTCTGGTACTGACTCATAATGCCGGTCCCACTCTTTTCTCCTCCTCAGGTCTGACAGGAGCTGGAACGCCTGCTCTGCTGGGACGCTGATGCGCATCTCCACCTTGATGCACAACATGTGGTTTTCCTCCAGTATGTACAGCCTGACCTGTGAAGGTAACGCCACAGTTTAGAAACAGGTGTTTTTGTTTTCTCTCTTGTTGCAGGTGTGGAGGCAGGCTTCAAATGTGTTGTCTTGTGTTTTCTTAATGCATCTCTCTCATATCATGTTGTTTCCCTTTCTATCTCTTTTTCTTCCACTTTTCTCCTTTTTCTTTTCTTTGTTTACTTTTTCCGTCTCGGTGTCCGTTACGAAATAATGCCAAAAGAATTTATAATAAAAGGTTTCAATATATATGAAAGTAAAACTGTTGGGCTTCATTTGGACACTAGGATATCAATTCTGAGTTTCACACTGCCAGACAGGACTTGGTAAAAAAATAAATAAAATAAAATAGAAACAGGTCTGGTCTATTGTAAAAACTGACACATTAACTAGAGAGTGCATAAATGATTTATCAAATTCTACTTCTTGGGGAAAAAAAGCTCCTCTCTTTATCTGAGCACTTTCTATTTAAAGGGATAGTTTACAATTTGAGGCTCTGTAGAAAATTTTTGAATAATTCAAATCTTACCTGTTGTAGGTTGATCTCTGTTAGGAGAGACTAAGTTTAATTGGTTATTAAATTACTGGAGTTGTTTAAAGYTAGTAATAATCCACTTTGGTCTCAACCACACTCATTAGCTCATGTCTGCTCAGATTTAAACTCTACTTTTCCAAATTGATGCAGTTCAAAGCACCATCTACAACAAGTAAGATGTTAACTGTTCATAAACTTTCCACAGAACCCCACTTCAGAAATTTCTAACAACAGGATCAACATCACTGGCACTATTAGACTCCATAAAATACATCACTAATTCTACAGACAATAAGCAAAATGTGGTTGGGTTATTGGCTGGCTTTGCCACAATAAATAATGATATTAAGAGATAAAATTGAAAGTTATGGTAATTGTGATAGTAATAGGCAGTAGGGTAATGGGTAGCTTTAAATTAGTTCAAGAGTAATTCAACGAAACAGCAACAGTTTGCAACAATTGTTGCTCTATGTTTGGAGATTGCTTTTGGTGTTCCTCAGGGCTCACTTTTAGGCCCTAAACTGTTTATTTTATTCATTGACATTTACAATGTCAGTTATTATTTCGAACATAACTCCATATCCTCTACTGTTCAGTAGAACATGTATTATAGGATAATACGTAGGAGAATGTGAAAAAAAGCAGCTGTACTTGCTTAACTATATCTGTAATATTAATAAAAAACCAGACTGACCTTATTTTTTTCTGAAGTTAAGACCCAGTTGCTCCAGGTATCCATTAGTTTCAGAGCTGAAACATTGTTGTAGCTCAGGTACATCTATAAAAAATGCACACAAACAAAACAAAGTGTGGCTTGAAATTGAGTAAGTTCGAGCACAATACCAGAACAGCTTTTATCTCTTTGTAAACAATACCTGGTTACTTGGATCCCAGGGCACAGACAGGGGCACTTCAGTCTGCTTGCAGGAGAAGATATATTTTCTGTAAACATTGAGGATGGCAATGATTTTTCCTCCAGCACAAAACAAAGGCCATAAACTTAACCAGACTCGAGCAGGAATGTAACATATTTGATTATAAAACAGAAGAATAAAGATTATACCAAAGGTCGGGTGTCAGCTGAACAATGAGTTTATTATTCCGTGCAAAAGATTATTTAGCTGTGATATGATGTCCTGCCAAGTCATTGCTGCTGTAAATGAGTCTAAACAATGGATTGTGTCACACAGTGCCATAAAAATAARGCACTGTTCAAACACCTTGAGTGATTTCTTTATCATCTTGGATTTATTTGCATTGTCACACACTTTGTAGCTCATATTAGCAGTAGATTTAGTACGGGTGTAAGAAAATATCGATACAGTGAAATATCCTGATATTTCATTTTCTGATACTGTATAGATTTTTAATAAAAGCTTAATGAGCASAAGTTGTTAGAAATGTGAAATACAAATGCAGTTCACTGGTGTTCAGTGTTCTTCTGATTTTATAAAAAATAAAAACTGAATTTAATCAGATTTTAGGCATTTTATGCATTTTTATATTGAGTTTTTTTTTAAATTAGAATCCTTTGGAGAGAAAAATGACAATATATCACCTGGGTTACAGTATCACAATATATCGCGATATACAGTATATTGTGACCCCTTTCATATCATATTACCAAATTCTTGCCAATGCACAGCCCTAATATTTTCTAGTTTGAAGCATCCTTTATAAAATTAACTGAGAAAAACAGCTTGAGGAGGAAGTTTTTTGTGCAAAGATCAGCATTTTGTCATTAAAGAAAGAAACACTGGTTATTTATTCAGAGTCCCACAAACCTGTCAAGACGAATTTTCCTCCTGGCAATAGCTTCTTGATAACGTCTCCTTCCATCCTGAAAAAACATCAAACAATTCACCTTTTGGAGATTCTCCTGCAGTCTGAGGCCTTTAAGTGGCAGGAATGCCCCTTGAAAAAAAAACTTACAACAGGCTCGGGTCGTATTCGTGGCAACGTGCGAGGCTTCCTGTCGCTGCCCATCACCTCAAAGGTCATAAAGGCACTATTTATGTGGCGCAGAGGTTCCCCACCCTGATAGGCCTCAGCACAAACTCCCACCTCCATGCTGAAGAACATGATCATACAACACTAGTGCCACTGAAGGAAACATGTTTATGTGGTGTTATGTGGACACCCACCTGTCTTTGAAGGCATTATTAACAATTGCTTTCAGAACCAGTTGGTCACCAACGTGGGATGGGCCACGGAAATGGAACATGTCTATGGTCCTCAGGGTCGGGTGAGCGTTACACAATCGACTAGATCAGATTGAAGAAATAGAGCAAATTTAAGAACAGTGATATTTTTTATCCAAAAAGGTAGTCAGCCAACAAAGATGGTCCATCTGAAAAGAAGAAAGAGAAAAACAAAACTCTGAGAAATCTGCTGAAAATCATATGAACAGACGCCAGAAGGCTGTTGAAAAAGAATATAAAAAGAAGCATTATGTTTACTCAGGTCATTTAAAACGAGTTAAAATCACACAGACATAATAATAATAATAATAATGCTGCAAATGTCTGCATTTTAGCACAAAAACCTTAGTGTACAGTATTTGTGAAACTAGAAGGTAGTATCCTGGTTCAAGACTGGGGTGGGTAAAACTATCGATTCATCAATACATTGCAATTTTGTAATTTTTTTTCCAATTCAGTATTGATTCAGAAAATCATCTGTATCTATTCAATCCCTTAGCCAGTTTGTCATGTTTTTATGTTTAAACTCCATATTTCGAACAAGTAATACTGTGCTACTGATTTATTTTCAGATGTTTTATTTCTCAAAAATGTAAATGTAGACCATTTCTGTTTATACATGCAAAAAAATAAATATCAAAAAATTATCCACATGGACTCTAATGAATTATTTGTGTACTTCTTATCATGAAATTGACATATAAACATTTAAAGTAATATTGAATCAATATGATATCCAATTGAATTGGGAGGCTGTTAACAATCCCCAGTCCTAACCATGATGGGTTTCCACCATGACCATAATAACAAATAAAGGATTTATATCCATGACTTCTAAGAAAAATATCAGCATTTCTGTTTTTCGACTGAATCTCTATTTGCAGCAGATCACGCAGCACAAAATAAAACCAATCGTGAGAATAAAGCTCATGTTTTGGAATGACTAAACTTACATAAATGTGTTGAAGAACCAGTTTTGATTAAACTGTTTGAGGTCAGCCCAGATGCTGTTCTGCAGCTGAAACATCGACTATCTGGAACATTCAAATGCAGATATTTTTTGTATATATCYGAGATACAAAGGCTAGCATACTTTACCACTGACAAATTATAATGACTCAATGCTGTGTCAATAAATGGTTTATGCTATAGTTTTTTGATTAGTGTCACATTTGGCGCTTCCAAACTGCAGTGTATTTGCAAAGTGTCACTTCATTTACCCAAGTGTGATTTAGGATTTTGGAAGGATACAGATGTAGGAGGATTTAGAAAAATATTCTTTCCATTCAAGTGATACTAACAACCAACATAAACACTTAAAGGAAACATAACTATAAGCCACTTTTTTTAAGTATAATTTTAAAATAACCCATGCTAATAATATATTCACTAAACTGGAATTATTTCTAATACACACTTTAACTTTTAATTTTAATTGTAATGCTGACTGTTGTTTTTTTTCTTCTATGCTTAGAGTTATTTATTTATTTTAGTTATGTGATGGAAAATCAAAAATAATTTTATTGCTCAGTGTAACCTCTGTGTTTTGCCGCGTAGGTGATCTTTATCACAGATACTGATTCACACGCTCAGTGTCAGTATTTTGTAATGCATTGTGGTTTACATACTATATTCAGGTCTATTTCCGGGTTGTTGAAATAAACTGAGTCTAAACAGTATTTATATCTACCTGTTTCAGCTCTGTAGCCACAACATCCAGCAATACGTTGATAACATTTCACTATCACAACATGAAATATTGTAAATATTGTCACAGTAATAAAAAAGCAGTTATACTTAAAACAAATTACACTGTAAAAGGTGGTTTGTATTTTTGTCATTTAAATGCGGTTGAAGTTTGTTAAATTAGGAATCACTGCCTCAGGTGGTTTTAGAAYCACGGTGAATCAGTGGTTAGCACTGATGCCTCATAGCAAGAAAAGTGGGATTTGTTGGTTAAATAAATTGCGTTTTTTGAGCTTTGTATCATGTTACAATGTCATTCCCTCATCAAAACCGTCCCCAGAGTGTTGCTTTGACTCATTCATGCATGTTTGAGAAATCCTTGAATCTCCTGTGGCCACGTGGAGCAGCTTAAACACTTGCCGGTACAAAGCCCCGCCTATTTATACAAAGCTCCTCCCTGGAGCTCAGTCTGCAGCTGAGCTCCTGCCCCACAGAGCACCCCTCCCCCAAAGCCATGTTGTAAAGACAGGCCGAAGTGGGAGTGTCTGAAACGGTAGGAGGTTCTTAAAGCGACAGATGCCAAATTCAAAGTGTTTAGATAGACTATGATGCAAAGTCAGGTTATTTTTTGATACATACAGCATTTTCATAACAACTGAAGGTAATATAAGCTGCATTTCCATTGACCATGAAAATACGCAAATTAGAATTTTGAAAATAAATTTGCTCAACGGAAACATGTCAATTCCGAAAAAAATTATGTTTTTCGACAAAATGTTTTTGCGCTAAGAAGAGGTGGTTTTTCGGCCGTATRGAGATTGATGTATTTCACAAAACTGCAATGGAAACACTATTTCGCATCACGGGAGTCACGTGATCAAGAACTGGCTGTTTCTACTGACGAAAAGACGACGACGAAGAAGATAACAGGAAGTAAAAGTAGTAGTGAACTCACAGACTACATTTTCCCAAAAACGCTGCATAAGTAGCCGCTCCCAAGTAAAGGGGCTTGTCACTCGAAAGCCTCGATCAGACGCAGACGTCTCCTTTGATGCCTGATTATGAGCGCTAGTGTCGTGGTAGCCATATGCTATGTGTTTACATACATTGCCGTCGCGTTTGTAATMAATTATCGCGAGAACAAAAATATTCACGCGTGACTTTAATAGCATTTCTTACTTAATGGAAACACCGCAGTTGCAAAACTGTTTTTTCAACATTAACAGAATATTGACAAAGTTTTGTGCACATTTGCAATGGAAACGCAGCTATGGTTGATTGTCATAGAATTGATCAACGTACCTGTAAAACACATTATACACCACCCCCCACAATAAAATCATTTATTTTTGTTTACTTGTATTACTGCAAATGTTGTTTTAAATAAAAGTTGTGGTGCGAAATAAACTGCAATGGAGTTTGGAAACAAAATATCTACATACCAGGGGGTGGGGGAGCGGAAATTGTCTTTTAAACCAAAGTGGGGCCAGAAACAGTTTAAGAGGCACTGCCTTAGGTGTTTGGAAGTGAATTCCACAGACAAGGAGCAGAAAAAGGCTCCCCCATGATGGTTAGCTTAGGCTGGATGAGACTGGATTTGGATGCAAAGGGTAAGCAGCTCCTAAAGTTAGGGGGGGGGGYGGGGGCACGTATGCACTGGTGTGTCAGGATTTGTGCAAACATGTAAAAACTGCTCTGTAACTCTTGTCAAAAGGTTTTTTCTTTTAAAAGCTAGACTAATTGTTAATTTTTTTGTGAATACTAGGTGAATACCTTGCTGCGATCGTAGCTACATTCTCCATCCAAGCCATGATCTGGCCCCCGAAAGTGTTGACCTGATGGTTAGCGTGCGGCGGCAGCACCAGCTCCACGCTCTCCACTCGAGTCCGCTCAGCCGGCACCGCATCCTCGTACTCCTGACATTCTCCTGATGAGAGGGACAGAGCAGGAAGCTGTAAGCCCCGTGACGTTCTGACGCTCGGCGCCTTGCYAGGCCTCGTGTTCGCACCCAGCTGAGCCGTGCTGCTGTTCAGCAGGTCYGTGATAATCTCGGCGTGGATGAGCCTCATCCTTCGCCGCTCCGCTGCCAGGCTGTACTCCATCTGCTCCATCTGCGTTCGAGGGATCACCTGCTTGAGCTGCACCTGTATCCGGACACACACAAAGCCGGGCGACATTAAATCAGCTTTAGCGAAAGGCCAGCGGATCGTTTTGTTGCCGTTTTACCTTCCCGGCYTCTGTTCGTCTGGAGACAAAGGTGGCGAACGCGTGGCAAACCTTCCACTGCTTGTCCGCGTACAGGTCCTCACAGGTGACCAGAATGCCCACCTGAAATGTAAACAAGCAGCACGTTCACCGCAGTTTTAGGATTAATCACTCTGCTAAAAGCCACACACATTTCACCGACCTCCATGCTCGATGTGAAGGCTCTGTTGACCTTTGCTACGATGTTGACAACATTTCCAACCCTGCAGAAGACAAGCACTTTGTATACATCAACGAGCAGGTATTATACTTAAAAATACTATATCATTTTAATGCATTTCATAATYAAGACATTCAAATAAAAAAAACACCTTGTTATCATTACTAAAGAGCTATTTACAAGTAAACATAATTTWAAGAGTATTCTTTATGTCAAGATTTGGTAAAAGTTTGTTTTAATGAACACTACACTGTGCCTGTACAATAAATACTGATTTAAAGTCACTATGCTGAAGCAGTATTAATGTTATACATTACCCTATAGTGTGTTCAAAGTGGATGTCATCTACTGACGCAGTGACACATGAACAGCCAGAATGCCTCTCAGCTGAAAGAAGAGAGGTTACAGCAAAATGTGACAAGAGTTTGTATGATTAAGATTCCAGCTCAAAAGAAATCAGTAAATCTCATTTAATTCCTTACAGAAGTTATGAATGAATTAGACAAAACAGGTTTCAACAGTTTTTAGCATCACAGACCTTTTTTTTTTATACAAAACAACCTTCCCACAGAAGAGTAGGAGGGGGAAAGAAGTTCATTTAACGTTTGTTTAACCAGTTTTTTTTGCTCAGTTGTTTTAGGATCAACTTTTACATTTGTTAGTTTGTGAAAAAGAACAACAGCTGAATAAAGTGCAGGAAAGAAATGCAAATGATTTTTTTTCTAAATTAAATTCCCTGCAGATATACAGTATGTTTATACTGTAAAAGCATTTGTATAAATCAGGGCTATTCAACTAGCGGCCTGTGGGCTGGAAGTGTCCCACAGCTGACTTTAGTCTGGCCCACCGATTAGTAC